CTTGGGGGGCGGTCGGATGAGGAACTGCGGGGATAGAGAGGGGGATTTGGAGGAGAAGTGGGGGAGGGGGGAGGAGGGGAGGAGGGAAGGGGGGAAGGAGGAGGAGGAGGAGGAGGAGGAGGAGGAGGAGGAGGAGGAGGAGGAGGAGGTAGGGAGAAAGAGGAGGCGGAGGACGACAGAATAGTGAGGAAGGATGGCGGGTGGGATATGAGGAACTGGAGGAGGACAACGTTGATGATGCGAAGGGGTCACGGAGAACGGGGTCGCTCCCCACGCCCTGCCTGACCTCTGACGATGCGACTGGCACCCCTCGCTCTCTGGTTCCGAGGCTGCTGCACACGCTGCAGTACGTGGCCAATCACACACGTCAAGCTTCGAGAACTCGACCTGTGGTCCAAAGCGAACCGGACACGGACCCATGCCGTCCTGACTTCGCATCCTGTTCACCAGCACGCGAACCACCAGCATGTCAATACCCCTCATCGCACTGAGCATCCGAGCTAGGCTGCAGCTTGCTGCAACCGCTGTACATACCACTGAAGAGGAGATCTTACACGATGCCAGCTCGTGGGCCCAAAACAACAGGCTGTTCTTAGGGGGAACAAGCAACGACATAAACACACAAACGCGGAGGACCTTCTGGATTTCTGCCATCGGCGCTGGACCCCCTCCCTGGCGCGCGGAGCGCGCCGGGGGCGGCGCTGGGGGCGCCGCCAGAGGCCTCCATCGCCGATACGAGGAATCCGCGCGAACCTCCGACCTTATTGAAGAGGCCCTGGGACATACAAATAAATATACACACACATAACAGCATTCCCCATATTTTCCAATGTTTTCCGGGTTTTTGTCTTCCCCCCCACTTCCCATATTTTCCTATATTTTCCTGAGGATCGACGATTAATTGTGTCACTGTGTTTTTTTCCCCCCTGACGCATATGCTCATGTCATCGCTTGCTTCCTTAGTTCTGGCGCTCCCGACGTCGAAGCAGCGCGTATATGCTGCAAGCGCGTTGCTCCGTTCTGTTTTTCCCTGTTGCTTCGGCGCGGCCCGCCCTGGCTTTGCCCGGCCTTCGACCCGCTTCGCGAGCCCGCGTGCCCAAAAAAGTATCCTGCAAACTACTGGGCGCCGAGCAGAATCCAAGAGCCATACGAGTGACACCAGCGGCCCCAAGCTTGGAAAACCCTGCAGCCCCTCCCAAACGTAAGTCGGGCCCGTCCTCCTACAGGGGGATCTTGGCCGAAGAAATAACAATGGTCTAAACATGCCCCCGAATGGCCAACAAATGCCCCCCAAAATCATCCCCCGACTATTTTTCTAACTATTTTTGACAATTCCCCCTGTAGATCAGGGGCGGCCAAGAGGGGGGCGTCCAAGAGGAGGGGGTGCAAATCATGGCCGGCGGCATGTGCGCGGCCAGGGAGTGACCCAGACACGTAATGAAATGAGAGGAGGTGCCATGAAATCTCGGGAAATATCATGGCCCACGCCGTGGTATCCATCCCTCCCTAGTCATCACCCCCCTCTTTGCCGCTCCCGAGTAATTAGAGGGACAGGCCCGACTTAATCCCAAAAGCACCTGCAGCTATCGGCCCTGCAGCACCCGCAGGTCGGCCCTGCAAGCTCGCTGCTGTGGGCCCCTGCAAGTGCTGCAGGGCAGAGGGCGCCGGCCCGGCACGGCCGGGAGCGGCCCCCTCGGGAGCGTGCACTCAGCAGGAGCTCGATCACGCGAAACCTTCCACAAGAAGCCCAGCCCTGAGACCCCAGGACGTCCGTTGATTTTTTGGAATGGGGGCGTCACGTGTTCCATCGCAGAACCATCGAAACCCAAGAAACCCAGGGCACCCTGGAGGCGAGCAGGGTGCTTCTTGGCATGGGCTTCCACTGTCTTGGCTATACGTGAGAGTGACCCTGGACAAGTGTGACCTTTGGTGCACGGTTCCTTTGGGGCCGTGGGGGGACCAACACACAAGCGCGCAAGACGCTACTACCGCATCCGCGTTCGGCGATCGGGGGGCCCCTCTGGGCTCGCACCAGAAGTCACACCAGCGAAAGGTCAGCAGGACCGCAGCAGGAAGTCAGCAGGTCAGCAGGAGCAGGAGGAGGAGGAGGAGGAGGAGGATGGGGAGGAAGAGGAGGAGGAGGAGGAGGAGGAGGAGGCGGAGGAGGAGGAGGAGGGGGAGGAGGAGGAGAAGGAGGACGAGGGGGAGGAGGAGGAGGAGGAGGAGGAGGAGGAGGAGGAGGAGGAGGAGGAGGAGGAGGAGGAGGAGGAGGAGGAGGAGGAGGGGGAGGACCGTAGCCTTGGCTCAAGCCGCTCTGGCTCAAGACGCCAGGCACAGGGCCTGCACGCACCGCTCTCCAAGAGCCGCCAAAGGCTCGCCAGCGGGAAGAATTTTTCTTCGCACCTCGCAGAGCGTACAGCCATGTCGTTCGGCAAGGGCTGGTCCAAAGGAAGTGGCAAGAGTGCAGGCAGAGGCGCGCAGCAGCAGTCCTACACGGGTGGCTGGTACGACCAACCGAGCCCCGCCAAGTGGAGGTGTGGCTGCGGGTGCGCCAAGAATCAAGCAAGTTGGAGTTGGTGCAAACACTGTGGCACGCCGCGGTCGTCAGGAGAGGTCTTCGTGCCGCGCGAGGGCCCCTACGGCGAGCCGATGGCCCAGGGTGTTCTTCCTCCTCCTGGCCTTCACATTGCACCTCGGCGGCCAGTGGGAGCCCAGGGGACTGGTGGCTGCGGCGGCGGCCAGGACCTCAAAGGCCTCACCGATGCGGAGTTGCAGAGTCTGGAGCAGCTGGGAACCAAATCGAACAATGTCCAGCTCACCAATGCTTGTCAGCAGGAGCGTGTGCGCCGTGATCAGCCAGGGCGTGCAGCCCATGATGTGGCAGGCGAGGCGCACGCCAAGTTACAGTACGTGGAGAAGCAGCTCTTGGGGGCGACCGAGACGCTCGAGCGCCTCACCAAGCAGCAGGTGGAGCAGCAGAAGGTGGTCACCGACCTGGTCGGCAAGGTCGAGATCGCAAAGTCAGAGTACCAGCAGGCGGTTGCGACGCTGCACGCCAAGACCCTTGGCCCGCAGCAGCAGGTGCAGCCGCAGGCAGTTTCTTCCAAGTTGTGCATACGAGATATCTTGGACGGCAACATCCAGGACATCTTCGTGGACGATGAGAGTCTCTTCGGCCTGGGCGATGTGCAAGAGCTGGAGGCCACTGACAAGACCCAGCTCGAGGAGCGCAAGAGGTTATTGGCGGAGGGCCTCAAGTCGGTCACGGAGAATCTGTTCAGTTCTGTCAAGGAGAAGGCGGAGTCCCTGGTCCAGCAGCACAGGGAGCACTCGGAGCGCCTCAAGAAGAAGCGCAAGGGCGGCGACGGCACCACCGAGGAGCCGCAGGTGCCCGCGGTTGTGGCCACGGCGGAGGCACCGCCTGCCGCAGCCGCACCTCCGACTCCTTCGACGGCTGAGGCGGCTTCCCCTGACGCCCTGTCTCGTGCCAAAGCGGCCCTTGCCGCCGCGGGCGAGAGCCCACAGCGTTCCTAGCCAGCAAGAGCGTCGAGCTGCTTGCAACCATCCCTCCTTGCCTCCGCCTCCTCCTCTTCCTCCTCCTAAGTTGCAGGCAGCGAAGCGCCGTGACGAGTTTGTAGTTGAGACTGCTAACTCGTCGGGATGGGGGCCTCTTTGTCGATTTTTGGCTGAGGAATCCAGAGCCGATGTGGTTTTAACCCAGGAAATTGGCCGTGCTCAGTTTCAGATTAAAGAGGCAGAATCACGTTTAGCTTCCTTGGGCTGGCAGTGTAGCCTGAGTCCTTCTGTAGTCACCCAGGACGGCGGGCTCTCGAGTGGGGTCGGTGTCGGATGTCGTCGGTCGTTCGGTATGAGCCTGCCGCCTGGGGTTAGTTATCCGCGCCTTCCGAGCCCCCACAGGGTCCACATTCGCTGGATCAATGCGTATGTCCCTGGGGGGTTTCTTGCTGTTTCACTTTACCTTCCGACGGGGGGTATGGCCTTGGGGCCTGAGGGGTCTCAACTTCTAGCCAGGCTTGGGGAACTGTTACACGGATGGAGGCTGCCGTATGTCATTGGCGGGGACTGGAATTGCACCCCTCAAGCCCTTCGTGAATGCGGTTGGGAGTCTCGCTTACGTGCTACAATCTGTTCTCCGTCGCTACCTACGTGCAGGTGCGGTAAGGTCTGGAAGGTTCTCGATTTCTTCATGGTCTCGCCTGGGCTAGCCAGCTCGGTCAAGACAGTTCGCCGCAGCAGAGTTTCAACCTTGAAGCCTCACTGGGCAGTCCAGCTCGTGATGCGCCACAAGGCTGTGTTGCCAGAGGTGCCGCGCTTGTTCAGCCCCAAGAGTTTCCCGCGAGATCGTGCTGAGATCCCCTTCGGGCCCCCGACGGAGCCGGTAGACTGGGGCACGCTCGCGGTGCGCCTCGAGGAGGCGCCAGATGTGCACAGGCTCCAGCATTTCTTTTCCGAGTTCTTGGGCCTTTACGAGGACGAAATGTGCAAGGTCTTCTGCCTGGACCAGGAGCTTGGGGAAAAATATCGAGGTAGGGTCCAGGGTCCGAAAATCCAGAACGTCCCCGAGATTCTGACCACTGGCGGTCCGTATCCTGTGGGGTGTGCTCTGGCCAGGGGGTGGCGTTCCCTCTATATCTGGATCCTGGAATTACACTATATTAGAAACAAGGGGGTGTCTTGGCTTGGGGTTGATACCCAGTGTATCATTAACAAAATCGTCCGAGGCCCTCCGACCCTTAGGAACAACCAGGAGTGGATCTCCTGGAGCCCATCACGTGCTGTGCTGCAAGGCGCCTCTGCTCAGGAACTGTACCACTGGGCGATAGACGCTGGCGGCATCGCCGACAAGTTAGAGCGCGTGCAGGTCGCATCGCGCCAGACGGCCTGGAGGAGCTGGGTCAAAGAAGCAGTCAAAAATGGGGGGGGGGGCTTGGGCACCGTTACACCAAGGCCCCCACGGGCTGGGTCCCTTCGAAGCCCTC